TTTTTTAAATAAGTAACCACTGCTTCCATTTATGATTAGCACAATCTGTATAAACTGCAAAAATGATTGGACGTCTCTATGCACCGCATGACAGGTATTTTAACTTCTGACTTCAGATTGCCACGTCTAACCCTTTTCAGAGGACAGCCCTTCTACAAAATTATTTCTCAGACAGTTGGGACAAGGAAGATCTAAAGAGAAATAAAGCAAGAGACGCAGAGAAGAGAGTAGGAAACATTTTCCCATGACACTCCAGCTCCAGCCCACACAGCTCAGTCTGGATTCTTGATCCTCTTGACCAGTTCACAGCAAAGGTCTGGCCCAGGGATGAAAAGAGGTCGGCGCAGAACCGTCTAATTTGCGAGTTCTGCAATGACTGTGTTTCAGGCACAAGAGTAGAACGCATGCATCTTGCCAATGTGAACTTAAACTGTTACGGACATACAGTGTATAAGCAGCAACAGGAAATGAGTGGCAAAAAGGTCAGAAAAGTGTAACTAAGCCTTTATTAAAGCAGACAGAAGCAACACCTCTGTCTAGCTCAGTTATAGGGCTTTGGTAGTATAACACTCAGTGTCTTTGCAAGACCTAAGCTCATTCCCAAAACCAAAGAATACAAAGAACCAAGCTAGACTGCCAGTGACCTGGGTTAACCACAGTATGACCAATGTTTTCAAATGATCTCCCAGAAGTCTCTGTCCCAAACACACAGAGTGGCACAGTGGAATGAAAAATCTTTCTAACTTGCCTATTATTGAGATGCAGTGTTTTTCTGCATTCATTATGGAAAGTCACTGAGAGCAACTTTCACAGAGATGCCTTTATATGTAGCTAGGTTTGTATTGAATCAGCTCCAGTTAAAGTATTGAAGCCTACAAGCTCATGGAGCCTATGGGATTGCAGTACATTTTAAGGAATTCATGTCTCAGTATTACATTTTGTGATAGAAATTGCGCTGTTTGTGGAGTGTGAAAACATTGATGTTAATTTCAAGTACACATTTTGTTGCACTTTTAAACAGTTTCTACCAAACTAATTTTATGAAACAAAGATAAAAACAAAGATAATAGAATAAATTAACTGGGATCTTGTCTATGCTTCAGTAATATTCCCACAAAGAGAGAGGTAAAGTTTGGGAACACTGCTGACAGATGTAACCACACAGCTAGAGACATTTCCTAGTGCCTGCCATTCCTTCTGTCTATACGTTGCCAGCCTTGGCTGAACTCTATGACAAATTTTCGGCATAACCGCTATAACTTACTATTGTGGATAAAACCCATACTGAGAAGCCCACTAAAAGGCAGGCTGGTCGACAGTGACACCCCTTTAAATGAGCCCTTCTGAAAACCCCAGAAGCCATATCCTGCACCACAGCAGTGCAGTGCTTCCTGTTCCCCAAGTATTTTCCCTGGCACTTACGCTCTTTTAAAAGGGTCCAAAAGGACCAATGGGCACATAGCCTATTATTGTTGGAAAGGGAGTTTATGCAGCACCAACAGTCTTGCTTATCTGTTGAAATAGGACAATCTGGGCCCCACTCCTACTGTCTAGACGCACACTGATGGATGGTTCATGCTGGAAGACCAGGCAATGGTTCATCTTTTCCTATGTCCACAGGGAGGTAACTTAATACAAACCTTCCACTGCGGCACTTTAAAAATGGACTAAAGAGGACAGAAAATAGAAGAAAAATGGCTTAATTTGAAGTACTTACTTTTAACTGAGACAAGTCCACAACATCATCATCACAGTGGCTACACCCATGTTCATAGTTCCATGTATTGGGGACATAGTTGGCCAAGTAGTTCAAGTACATCTGTAACGGAAATAATTTAGAGCAGGTGAATGCCTGGTTATAGAAGATTAATATCAGCATAAGCAAAAACTCAAAATATGTTCTGTGATTCAGCATATCATGATGTGTTTGGAATATGAGAATGGATATTCAGTCCACTGATTTAGTGTAAGAATTTGGGATAAAAAAAGATCACCAGGCAGAATCACTTGTTAGACTGAAGACCACCGGGGTATAAATGTCTCTTTTAGTGAAATTGAGACTTAACAGTCTGGTGTAATTATTCCTTTTTTCAGTTATCTTCATAAATGCCAACTTGTTGTAATCATAATTATGTCTGCTCTGTATTTAGTGTGCAAAAAAGTTAAACTTTATGGGGAACATAGTAGTTTCAGTGCACTAATGTTTACAAATTTCTCATCGTAGACATTAACATTGTGATCATGTATTTGTAATCCCACTGAGTTTGGTGTAATAACTGGAAAATAATAAAAAATGGTCACAAATCCAGCTAGGCAGCTCCAAACGGTAGAAACAACTGCTAGGACAAGGATTCCGTGATCTACCATTAAAAGCTTCTCCTCCAGATGTTGAGGCCTCTGGGAAGAATGACTCAACAGTTTGGTGGATTTGGTTCATTACCAAGGTAGACCAGAGGCAGGCAGCTGGTGGTGGAGCAAGACTTGTGAAGAAATGGAGGAAGGAATACGACCAGAAAAAGACCCCTCCAGAATGATGATGGTATCATACAGACATCCTGCTTTACAGCTGCCAGAGCTCTCTCATATACTGAAAGTAATGCCGAAAATGAAAATAGGGGACACATGGACAGAACAAATTTGGCCAGGCTTCTTTCCTCTACTGAATAATGAGCTTGTTTTTATAGCCAGGGTTACTGGCAAGTACCATAGGAACAGTATGTAAATTTCTCGAAAGTGTGGGAATTTATGCACTGCAATGCAAGGCAAGGGCCAACTCATCTGCAAATGGGAAAGTTCAATAACTCAACCTAAAGCTAGTGTCCTAAATGAGAATGATTAAGCATCTATGTTGTGCCATTAGTGTACTATGTTAGGCGTGCCTGAGGGCATCATTTCTCACTCACTTTGGTGTTTCCGTTGCCATGGACAACCACTGGCAGAGAGTCGTACACTGTGTTTCTAACTCTTACGCGGTCTGTTCCAAACTTGAGGAGCACTTCATCTGCCAAAAAGAGGAACAAGAGACACTTCAGGCCAGGTTATGAAAATTGACTTACCACATGGCCAAGAGCTGTGAAGGTTTATAACTTGCAGGTTGAATTGCCAAGCCAACAAGTTTTGTATAAATATGCAATCTATCACACAGGGTGGGAGAAAAGCATTACAATTTGATTTACGTTAGTGCAGCAGATTATTTAATGCCCTAGTTTTTTTGTTTTTTTTTTACTTCCAGCATAAACTGGGGTTTTAAATAATTGGGTTTTAAATATTTGACAAATGATATGTAGATTAGCTGGAAATTGACTTATGGAATTCAGTTTCTGTGATATTCTCACCGACGGCTCCATTCAGGTTCTGGAAAATCTGGCACTTGTGGTCCAAAGTCATGTTGAGAGTTTCCTTAAAACATGAAAACATGGTGAGTATCTTAGCCATCCGAAATATGCGGGAAAAAAGTGCTGGTGTTTGCACAAGATACTTACTCGCTGTAAAGGATCCAAGTATATTTTAGTGTAGAAGAGCTGGTCATCATCATTGTCATGGAGGTTCCATTGTGAAACAACTCTGTTTATGTATGGGGCGTAGCCGATTATACCTGCAAGTAATAAACAGTGTGACACACAGATCCAGCGGTAAAGTATAGGGTTTAGAGGCGTTTACAAGGTCATATACAACTGGCAGACTGTTGGTGACAATTATACTGTATCTGCTGGCTCCTTGGTCTAACAGCTTCACTCTAGGAAGCCTGAACGCCTTACACAAAGTGTGATTTTTGGCAATAATCCAAAACAAACAAGAAATGGGCTGAGACTTTCTCTTCCCACAGTCTGTGGATAGAAAGGAGTGCAGTAATGGATAGTAAGAAAGCTGTAATCTATATGTTATAACTGTCTCATAAAACTCACTGAGCTTTTGGAACAGTGTGTGCTAGTATCTCTCACACCCTCTCTAAATGTACATTCTCATGGCAATCTCAACTCGAGTTTTCCCCTGTCTCCTCTTTTTCCTTCTCTTGCTGAAGGACACATTGACCACAGTAACAGATTGCAGGGTTTGGCTGTGTTGCTGGTGTCCGACGTTTTGCATCCCATCATTTAAAAAAAGACTTAAACACTGTCAACAAGTTTAAGGATAGACATGACATAATCTAAATGGCTGGAGCAAGAAAAAGTTTAAAAGGAAATCATGGGATTTTTTTGTAAAACGGTAGCTTATCCACATAATGATGGTCTAAAATAAACAGATCCCAGAAAGTGTTGGGAGGTGCATGCCTTTCAAAAATGCACTGTTTTGAACTGCTTTGCTGGAAAATGCAGTATACAATATATATAGGCAAAGTTGCGAGAAAGGAAAACATGGATGGAACAATGAAAGTTGTTATCATGATATATGTCTATTTTGACAGACTGTTAACTGAACAGACTGAACATTTAAGAACATTTAAGTTTTATTTCCAGGTTTCAGGGTTCCTGGTTTAAACCATTATTAGTTTTCTTAGTAGATAAAGCAGATTTAATAGACTTAAATAAACACACATTGCCACACACAAACACAACCCAATCTTGATTCCATCCCTGAAACACTGTACACTCTGTGACACAGTAGTGTGTGGCCAGATGCTATAAAACATTTCCCAATGGTCATTTGGGCGGTAGCCGTAGGAACACAAACAAAACCTGCAATTTTACACAAACTGCGGCACATTCTGGGGGCCAAGACAAATCCACATGTCATGTCAATGACAATGAATGCTAAAAACAGTCTGTGATCAGTCTGGGGCAGTTGGGCTCCAATATGGGAGGTCAGACCAGGCTGATGACCACAGGGGAAGGAGTAATTCTATGTCCTGACTAGCAGGATGCAGCTGGCTATGCCATGTGTAATATGAATGAGAACATAGGGTTACTGTTCCTTCGTTTAAAAATGTCTGAACGTCTGCAGCATCTTTTGTGAGCTCGATGTCACGTTATGCCTAAACATCTTCATATGTATTGTCTGCCAATGCAAACTCGAGGAGAGTGCCTCAAAAGGGTAGAAAAGGGATAAAGTATGCAGTTAATATTTGCATGAATGGGCTTCTGTCACCTCCTGTCCACTTGGACAGGAAATACCTCAAGGAGCTAGTTTACAGGGAAAATATACTTCTATTTTATAGAAAGAGACAATAATAAAAGTCCTGTGGTTTTAGATTTTAAAACTAACTTCAGTCTGTTGTCAGTCCTTGAACTCGCACCACCAGTCTTTAAACCAATAACACTGTGGGTGCACTGCTGTTTAGCCCCCTGAATTCCAACTAGGCCTGCAAGTCTTCAAAGTTCGACAGCTGATGGAGGAATGTAAACCAATGTGCACACATAGAAGTTATGGGTTTACAGCAAGGTTGTTCAAACACTAGACTACCCCAACATGCAATTTATGTCGACAGAATATAAATAAAATAAAATGCTATGTTATTTTTTGCATTGTTCCATATTGACCCACCCACCCACTGAATTGGTATTATTTATTTGCCACAGATGAATGTATGGGTTATTGTTATTGTTAATCTTCCGGTTTATGCTAGACATAGTGTCTAGTGGTTAGGGTTAAACTTTGGGGTGAGGGATACACACGCCCACAAAGGAGGTGTATCGCAGCAGAGCAGCAGCAGCTTCAGTTGTCCATCTGTGTCTACACATGATGCATTCAGTACTTGGTGTATGTCACCAACGTTTTGGTGGTTCACAGGGCCCAACACACAACTCAACTCACTGTAGTTACACGTGTAAAACAAAAGAGAATACACAGAATTTGGCTCAGTCATGACAAAGATGATTCAATAGGTCAAAACATTTCATCATTTCGATCATATTTAGAAATGTTTGGAACCCACCTCCAGAGTTGAGGTAGCGTTTGCCACTGCGGATTGAGGGGTACTTGTCAGCTAGCCGCTTGTCCGGCCATATCAGTCCCTCTGCAGCAAAAAGCACTTTGTGATTGGCTTGCTGGAACTTCCTGAGAATCTCCTCTGGCCCCCCAGCAAAGATAAGATCATAGCTAAAATGGAGGAGTGAAGATAAAATACAACAGAGCATTATCAGTCTATCTTTCCCTTTAGGGGCTGTCTGACAGTTTTGTAACAAGTATGTCTTATCTTGCATCTGACACACAAGATAGGCTTCTACTTGCTTGAGCTTGATAGACATCTAAATGTAAACAGTGTACATTCTTAACGAGTGGGCATTTGTTACAGGCAAGAATGTCTGGATTGTACTTCAAGGTATTTCCAAAAGAGTCATGCTTTGACAGAAATTAACACACAAACTGCGCTGATGCATGCATTACCGATGGCGTAGTGTGACAGAGAGGAAAAAAATGCCATTACATGGGCTGGTGGTGACTTGTTTAAAAGCATGCTATTATTCAAAGGGCAGATCTTTTAGGATGTGGAAACTCTTAATGTTTTTCATGGTTTTACTTTGAGGTGTAAAGTCATAACACTACTAGAGCCGATTTATTTTGGTGACACCATTTCCACAGACTCACTGACTATAAAACACCCCCTTTTAGATGTGACTTTGATTCTGGACTTTGGACAGATTACTGTACACACTTGTCTAAAACTGTTCAATCCAAAAAAATCCTGTACTATATATACACCAGTTTATGTAAGGTGGCAGGAAAAGTGAAAGATAACCAGAACCGTCACAGGCAGGCATGCAATGAGAGGAAAGGAAATCATAGGTGAGGAAACCCGTATGTTCTACAGTATTCACATCTGGCTGACACATGTTAATACAAATCCCCTCTGTCCCTTGTTAAATCATCAATCATAGTTATTGCTGCAGTATAAAATGACCTGTAGTCCATGACCAAACATTAGTAATAATGTATAAAAATTTAATTTATGAAAATAAATTCAAGACTCGCCTGGCCTGGGGTCTGAATGGATCTGTTTTACATTCCCTTTGTGAGTGTTGCCTATTTTTATCATCTAAGATATTTAATTAACTGTCACTGTATTAAGATAGTAAACTGCAGAACTAGGAGGTGCAAACTGCAGTGCAACTTGATATTTACACTAAAATACAATGTAAGATCAGTCTTTTTCCACACTTAGTACTCAGAACCCGTTTTATAAGAATCTGATCTACACCCTAGGTACCAGGTGAATTCAATCGATAGCTTGGAAGGTAGAAACCAGACACACAATACACTTTATGTTGTGTTTGTGTTATTCTTATACACTGTATGTTACCGTTCCATTGGGTTTTCACCATTGATATAGTGGCTTTTTAACCCTAGTCACATCCATCCAACAGGAGAAAACTTAACTGAAAGTGTATAAGAGAAACATACAGTACCCAATACATTTAAAAGTAGGAGCCACCACCATTTTATGATGATTTTTGCAAATAAGGTTACCTCACTAGCTGGTGGTTCCCAATTGCAGCCCGTAATTCATTACTATACACATGACAAATTTCTGTCAATTCAAATGAGCGACTGATGTATAGCCAACTCAGGAAAAATGTTCTGGCTGTGAATGGCAATTGTGGTCTCCATTTATAGTGTATGATTATAAATGCAATCATTTTCTTTTAACTTTGGGCATTCAGCCCATGCTCAAAAGCTTGACAACAACAGTGAATAAATTTGAATGTCACTTCTGAGTAGGTGAATTACATATAAGACAAAATGTAAAACTGTGATTGAAGCAGAAACAGAAACTGTCATAACAACCCAGGTGGGCCAGCCGGATTATAGATTTTAAAATACATTTGAATGGCTCATAATCTTCTGTGAAATGCAGATGCAGTTTCTTACACTACAATCATTTCATCTAAAAAAAAAAAAAATACAACAAAAAAAACCACCATTGCAATTACCTGTTTCAAGGGTGTGACAACTTTGCCCAGCAATTATAGCGAACATTATTCATGTGACATGGTGCAGTAAGTATCATCATCTTCTGCTCTATTTGAGGAAATATGGCCTGCAAAGCTGTTATTATTCTAAACCACTCACATTATCTCAGGAAAACTTTCCATTGGCTTTGAAAACTCATAATTCAGCTACCTGCATGTGAAAATTACTCTCCTCATACATTTAGCAATGCTCTGTAATAATGCCTTTACGTGAATGAGTAAAGGGTGGTTTAGCACTACTTATATGTGGAGTAACGCCTCTCACTGTGGAGACATCACTTTCAAAGCAATCAACAGTCTGTGATTGTGAAAATTAGTTTAATTTCTAATTCATAGACCTTCACATCAATTAAATGTGTTATGTATCCCGTTCTTGTCATTGAAATGTTTTATATTTCAAATCAAAGCTAAATCAGAACAATCAGCTCAATCAAACTGACCTTTGCATAGAAACTGAACATCTAAGAAAAGTAACAAACAAAAGCCAGCAAAAAAAACAAAAAACAATTTGATCTTTTTTCTTTATTTTACTTGTTGGATGCAAACACATCGAACCAGATTGAGGAACTTTACTTCTCTACAGTATTTTCTTCAAGTAATATATATCTTGGCAATATCACTCTTTTAGGGACTCAGGGACAGGAGTTAATTTAGGCTTTGCATTGAAAGCTTGCATTAATCTGAAGTTATCATATTATAATAGTGTATATGTCAAATAATAGTAAATGTCAAGTAAAACTAAATAAAAGAGAACAAACCTGTCCACAGAAAGGACAACAAGATCTTCCTGGTCCGCCAACGCCTCCATGGCCTCTTTCAGTAGTCTGACTTTTTGCCCTCCACCGATAGAACGACCAACATCTCCACCCTTCCATGCTTCTCCCATTCCCAACACCTGAGACAGAACACATGACAAGTTTTAAAGCCCAACATGATCTGGCTTGACACAAAACATCACCAGTAGGCCAGCACTGTAAAAAAATCCATCTTCACAATTCATTCATTTCATGTCACTCAATTTTTGTAATGTCTCAAAATCAGGTAGGATTTCTGCCAGTGGGAGAAAAACTTGTCTTACAATATGCAAAACATTTCCAAGAACTTTCCTCAAATAGGCAGTAAGCTAAGTAAGATGGGTTCACAAATATCAAGAAAATTACTCTTGATTCAAAAAAATGACCTCCCTTGGAAAAAATGGCAGTTATGTTACCCTATTGGCAGACTTTCCACTAGTAGCTACAATGGCGCATTCTATAAACTCCTGTGTTTAAGTGCAGCCAGGGTGCCCTTCCCCACAATCTCACGGGTTTGCAATACAGCTGTGAATGGAAAAAAAAGCACAAAGCTGTAAAGATGAAGATATGAGTGTGAGCCTTGGAGCTTAAGGCAGCCTAGTAGAGAAAATCCACATGGGCTGAGTTACCTGCGGTACTGGGGTGACAGCAGTCAAATTGTAAGGTCCCTGTTATTCAGTATTTTCTAATATAGTCTTATTGGGTTTGCTGTACAGAGATGGATGCAAAGAATAACAGGCAAAGGCAGAGTACCGCGCAAATGCTTGTGGTGAACTAACTTTGAGTTTCAAAGCAAAAAATAAATAAAATAACAATTTTTTTTACAACTGGCTTCAACCACAGAGGGGAATTCTGGACCCACATTGAGGAGTGTCCCTTTAAGATGGATGTTTTTACAGCTTGCTGCACTTCATTGTTTCCCTCAACAGGCCTAATTAATCAAGTGTGTGGTTAAAACCTTTGGCTATTGTGTGTGTGTTAGTGGTACCATTAGCTGGGACAAACTGCACATTTGTAGACATAATTTTAGACTATGGGAAGACAATCTTACCTTCACAGTGTAGTTGAAATAGCGTGCAGACTGCATAAAGCGGTGGAAGCCATCTGTTTCCTCTGTTGCAACAGTTAGAACGAGCAATTTTTCTGAAAAAGAAAGACAAACAAATTTCCACAACCTTACTTATGTTACCTATAAAGTCATCACATATGTTCTGGCTAGCAAATTATAGGGATGTGGCGGATGTATTCTTGCAGCTGAATATTGTGACGCTTCAAGTTAAGGATTTAGAGGTTTTTGCTGCAATTTTTATTGTTTAGGATATCCACAGATGTATGTATATTGTTTGATGCTTTTAAGTATTGAGACTCCCACTTCTGTGAACCACTATTCGTTGTAAACCTCAGACCTATGTCAACAAACTGCTAACTATTTGGTTTAGCAGCCTAAACCTACATCTCAAAACAGCAACATCTACAGTAGTTTTGATCTGAGTTAAAAACGTATTTTTTGCGTATTTTTAAGCCTATTTTGAAACATGGAGTCAATAATTTCTTTCTTCTTGGGTTAAAAGAACTCCCACAAACCTCCAGGACATTTCCAGTGGCCGAGAGTGTTGAAGTCTGAGGTTTGAGAAAGGGTTAGACCAAATACAAATTAGCACCATAGCCTCATGTGAAGCTAGAGAGACAGACTAAACACACTAAGCTAGTTTTTAACTTGTTCTGTTATGGTTTGTAAAACCGACTGGGGGTGTCTTTGATTGGAAAGACCGCCATCTGTGATAGTGAGACAAGGAAGTAAGTCCCCTGATATCTAGATCTGGTTAATCAAGGTCTATTATTGCATGACGGGTGACTACTCATTCATTTCCAGCTTCCAAAAGATCATTTCAGAAATGAAAAAGCAAAATGTTATTCTGTGTTAGTAGGAAGACAGCCCAACAAAAATGTCATGATACTTTAGTATCGTTTTATAAGAACACTTGAATACTAATCCTACTTTTCATTTTTTAAGAGCCAATCTGCCTTTTGTTTAATATACTGCACCATGTTCTACTAAATCCCTTGTAAATGATTTATTGGGCATTGGCAAGTAAGATTGCCAGGAACACATATGAGCACACTCTGCCCCAAAATAAAGTTAAAAGCTGAAAACACATATTTGTAATATAAAGATTAACAGGTCTTCATAGTTTCATTTTTCTGGCTGTTTTCTATTAGCCTGAGTTTGATTATTTGTTGCGTTGAGCCTATTCTAAACAATTATTTTTCAGCAAAATCTCACCCACCTCCCATCCACTCTTCCTAACTGAAGTACATCAAAAGCAGCCTCCTTGCAGCTTTTCCATCCATTTCCTGTCAATGTGACTTAGCCATTCTCTCATCCCAGTCTAGCCTGTGGCCCTGTCATAGCTTTAATAGCCATTCCAGTACGCTTCTGACACAGAGGTTCTGTTACAGGTTGGAAATAGTTCCCTGTCTGCCTCCAACCTAAAAATCATCAGATGACATAGCAAAGAACTAGACAGATTCCAGTTTTAAATAAAGCACCATACAGAGGGAAGGGATGCCTATTACGAGACACAGGTGTGTTCCTGTTTTTGTTCTTGGCTTTAAGATAGAGGAGGATCAAGCATAGAGCATGGAGGGGAGGGTGTCTCCCACATTTGGGAAGCACATTTTCCAGGCAGGTCAGTTAAACAAGCGATTTTAATGGTTACAGGAGAGGTTTATATGCTTCCTATTATCCTAAAAAAAGATTTTCAATAACTCAGACCAGACACTGTCTTCTCTTTTGCTGTGTGAAACAAATTTTGAACTAAGCTATGAGCTTTTTATACTATTATTTAAATTTTAATATTAAGTGATTAATTGATCTTGATTTGGAGACACAGTTTCAGGCAGTCTCTCATCACCAGCAGCTTTGTTTGTGTATGTGCAATGGAAGTCAGTGTCTAGCTATGTTGTGATCCCTGCTATCTTATTTATTTTCATTTCCTAAATACTAAACTTTTGAAAACAGAACAATTGGCTTGCCTGTGATTTCAGGGAGACATTTCCCATCAGAAAGAAACAGGCTGACAGCTTACACCAATTAACCCCTCTGTGACTTTCCCCTGACCTTACGGAACCACACACTTTCCCCTCGTCGTAAACATGCAGGCCACATGAGTGCATCCCAACAAGCAAGCTCCCAGTTAAGTATAGCCTGGGGATGTAAACCATGTTTTGATTTCAAATAGATGAGACAGACACATTACATTCCTACATTAAACGTGTTATTTAGACACATTTGCAAGTCCCTTTCATCGCTTTTCCATACACAATTCCTGGTGGAAAAAAATCCCTTAGGATTACCAGTGGCCTCATGTGAACTATGGCTGGAAACATTGGCTGGATATTATGATATTGTCTCCAAATACAACACAAAGTGCAAAAGGAAGAAGTATGATCTGCCAGCATTGTTAAATTACACCTATATGGATCACAAGCTAAAAGTGTCGATGTAATGACTTTAGAGTATAATACTGTCACCCATACCTTGTAACATCAAACAGCTAAAGGTTTCCTTGTTCATATTTTCACCATAAGTAACCCCAGTTTTATATCACGTCCTTTTGAACACCTACAAAATATGTAAAGGGATCACTCTTTGAAATGTTGTCTGAAATACAGGGTTTATGGTACAACATAATATAATGGGGGATGAGGAGTGTACAGTTAATTAAAGGACCAGTGTTAGGATTTAGTGGCATCTAGCAGTGAAGCCTTCCAACCATGTAGTAAACAATAGTGACTGCAAAAAATATAATATATTATTATATTACAATAGTATTATTTTTTAATACACTAATGAAATATTAATATTATATCCCATTTCTGCCAATAGATGTAATGTTAATAAATGTTAATGTTAAATGCACTGGACCTTTCACCTGTCATGGCTCAATTAAGTGGTCACTACATCTAGAAAATACAAAAGTCTGGGGTATTTTTGGCCGCTTCAACAGATTGCTCACCTGATCAACAACCTGGAAATTCCTCTTTTCACTATATGCATATTTAAAACATTACCAGCACAGGCTTCTATAACATTAACAAAAGATACGGCCTTGATGAGGCTAGCTATGTTATTCTGTGCAATTCCTCCCATATTTTAGGGAACAAAGGCATTGTCTTATTGAGTTAGCTCATTATTCCTTGACTGTGCTGGTTAGTGCTTTGCTTTTAGCCCTAACAGTAAAAACTGGCATCTAGCTGGCTCACGTGATTTATATTTAAATTGTATTTGCCTTTTTCATGCAACATTCAGTCTTATTTTCTGCCAGTAAGGATGGCTTGTCCCATATTTCTTTGATGTTCAAATTAGTCCCCATGGATAGATAGCAATAATTGTCTACGGACAACAGACGTACAAATCTAACTTCCAATCTAACTACAAAATTGAATCCTGGCCCAATTGCCCAGTCCTTTTGATGTGTTTTTTAATATAAACACCATAATCACACTAATAATGAAGCATAACCGAGAGACAGATGGCAGCACTCAAAAGGAGAGGTTTTTGACACAGTCCGGGATGAGTGTCTAGTCAGAGTAAACACAGCACACTCTCATGTCAGTTCTGTAAGAACAGCCCGCAGGAGGAGAGGAATGTAGCTCATACAGTGTTGCTGTAACTCTTCTCCAAGAAAGGCATGGATGTCAAGTGGTCTTTCCCTCTCACTCTGTCTCTATACCACATGGGGCTCAGCTGTCTAGGTAAACTTTCACACTTCGGTGAGCAAAAGTTCTGACTCATCGACTGGGGCTAAGCTTAAGTAAGCATTTCTTGCAGAACGGAAAGAGGTATCATGGGAATGGGCCCCGGCCTTGAACATAAGGATAACAGAATCTTTCCTCTTTGACGAGAGACAGTTCTGGCCAGTGAAAACAAACCCCTGTTCTTTCTATTTTGGTCATCCAAGTAAATAAACAGTGTTTATAGTGTTTTAACTAAAAGCTCGCCAAAATTATCCAGCAAGTGTCAGACATAGGAAAGTGCAAGTAGTTCAGTTCATAGCCAACATTCTTTTGTTCGGTCATTTATTTGACTGAGCCTACCTTTAATCTCCAGGTAAAGCAAGAAACTATGAGATAGGGGGTGGGGGGGGCTGTGCAGTGACGCTTAAGTCACCTTGTGCCATTCCTGAACCTGGAGATTGGCCTGAGAAACCACCGCTTATCATATGAAATGTGAATTTAACTTAACTCCAGTCAGCCTGTGTGTTCCTTTCCTGCATCTGAAATAATGAAAGTAGACGTCAATATGAAGTTAGATGGAGAGTGGTAAGAAATTGTTTGCTTGCTGAGTATAACAGCCTACCAGGCATTTACTTTTCATGGATGGGCCTTGGGCTTTGAGCTGTGCCAGTAATGTGCACTGCCAGGTTGTACAACTAAAAACCCTCACTGTATTATAGTACACCATTTCCATCCTGGCAACAAGTATCTTTAAAAGGGAATGTTGTGGTAACATTTTGAGCCAGGTTGCATAAGAACAAATTCATAGGAGTTAACAACAGTATTCTGTTGGTATGTAACGCACAGAACTGGCCAAAGCTCATATTTGCTATGTTTCCAGGGTCTAAACGAGGCCTGTTGAAGGCGACATAGTTTTTTACATAGTTTGTAATGCAGAGAGAAATGAAAAAGCAATTAAGTCAGTGGTCTAATTTTTTACTACAGCAAAGGGAAGACAGATGAATTTTGAATAAGTCAGTGTGTAAACAAAGATACATCCACAATCCATATTGTGGACACTGTAGACTCCATATTGAACAGACTAAGTCGGAGCAGAGACAGCGCTTATCTCTGTCCACAGGGACCTGCATAACATTCCTCAATGTCATTTAGATCCATATTGCAAAAGATGAAAGGGAAAGTGTCGTGCTGTAAAGGTTACTGTAATTCTTGCGCTACTTATGCTCATATATTATGAATTTAGATCATCAAAAAAAGTTTTATTGCTTCGATTTATTGTGCACCTTAGTGGAAAAAAATCACATGAAAATGGGCTGCTGGGTCACAGCTGGAACCAGGAACGTGTTAATCTGACCATCAGTGCAAACATGCTTCCAGCTGTAACATGACTACTGATCTCTGGA